ATGACACCTTTATTTACATAACTCACTGGTGTTGTAATGCTGAGGGAGGTGGAAAAACTTGGATGTGCTTTAACATAAGAGAAGTGATGCTAGAAGGCTATTTTTTTACCTTTGACATCTCTTGACGCTCTGGATGGTTTTGGCTCTCTTACCTCATTTCTTTTTTCGAGACAGTCTTTTTAATCTGAGACTTTCATGTTGGGATTAAAGTGGTGCTCCAAAAGTGAGCCTGCGAAAAGGAGGTTGAACGAGAATATGGGACATTAGGCAAGGTTGGCACTGTGCTTCTTGCACAACTGGTGTGGCAAGCCTTCGCCTTCCTCTTCCCATCACACAATACTCCACCTCCTTACTGACGGGTGTAGGAGCAGGAATGGGAGAGATGAGTAATGTGTTATTCCTTGAAGCTGTATTTGCTCCAACAGTTCAGTGTTTCTGCGATCTGAAAGGATTACATTTTGAAGCAATGAGGTCTTTGATTCACCCTGCATCCCGAATCCTTCACTGAAATTGGCCATAAGTTGGAGGCTAAATTGTCCAGCACACATATAATAGATGCCATAACCTTTAAATTGGATATGGTCAAGAGAAAGTGAATGGATGTGTTGCGTGGCATGGGTGCACAACGCTTTATCACGATGTCAGTATGCCATCCATCCTCGCTTCCATGCTGACCGACCCTGTCATTTGTTTGAGGTGTTTCATTCTCATCAACGTGGGAAGGAGAGATTTCATTCTCTGTGCTTCTCTGATGTCCTTTCTTCCATCCACCTCATGGAAGGAATGGAATGAGTACAGAAATAGGGTGTGTAGGAGGTTTTACAAGGCTTTGAAGCGGTTTTCATTCTACCTCCTGCACTGGCAACTGAAATTCGACGCACACTAATGGAAAAGTTGGTGCGCAATAACGAGAAACATTAAAGGGACTCCCAACCCTGGATGCAGTGACGTTTGTAGTGCTTTCTTTTTACTGCTCCGTCGATGTTTGCTGCAAATGAATCACGGCTCCTCCCCGATGTGGCTTTTTAGAGACCATAAAACTAGTAGTGACTTTATGTAAACGATGGTTTGTATGAAGGTCTAATTTCGGGTAAGAAGGCGCAACTATTCACCCACCAATCCCGCATCTTCCATCCGTCCGCCATCGCTTCTGACTACCTAAAAGGGAGTTCAAAGCAGAAGTACGCTGTTTTCTCCCTCGTGAACGGACTATGAAAAACTGTCGTATCTGTTCGTGGTTTAAAAATGGGCGCCAGAGAAAAAGAACTCTAATTGTGTGTCAAAATGGAAACGGGGAAGAAATCTTGTGTTCTCGCCGACGATTTATTTGTCTATATTTTCAGATGTGCAATTTGTTTAATAAATTTAGGGGGCATTGGTGTAAGCCACTTATCGGTGGTCTGATGAATTTCATCTCCCATTAAGTCGATCGGCAAGGCGTTC